GTCTGGAAGGTGACTCTCTGCAACTCCTTGCCCCTTCATCGACGAGCACTTGCATTCTTTACGCCTTCTCTTATGTGATGTCCTAAGAATTACTTTTGAGACTTTGCCAGCTGCCTGCTACGTATCCTGACGAGCTGTCCCAATTACGATGAATGATCAACAGACTGCTCAAGTACGCTTTGTTTTGATTTTGTTGAAAGAAAATCATTGAAAGTATGTTTTAAAGGTTTATTATGTTTAAATTATGTGTTTGTTTGGGGATATATGCACATGATTTCAGGTGCCTGCAGAGGTCAAGAGTATGAGATCCCTTGGAACTGGAGGTACAGAGGGTCATGAATTGACTAATGTGGGTGCTGGAACCGAACTCCTCTGAAAGAATAGCATGTGATTTTAATCACTAAGAGACATTTCTCTGCTTTTTAAGTAAGTAAATAAATAAATAAATAAACAAACCCACAAAAGTGTTTTATGACATTCTTACCAGAGTCTTAATCATTTTTAAAGTATTTGATAATGCAAAAATTATTTGCCAAGACATTCCAAATAAATAGTGTTTCTTCCTTTAGTTCTTTTATTTGTACATACCTTGCTTAAATTGATATTTTCAGATGGATTTTCAAAATAATTCTGCTATCACTATTTTTTTTTTCAAAAGCCATTGTGTGAACAACAATATTTTCACTGACAGCTTGGAGCTTTGAGTTAACCTTTACCAGCACATGCCCATGCTGTCCTCTAGTGCAGTTGGTAAGCTTGTTCTCATCGTCAATCAGGAAACATGCCAATTCAAGTCTTCCCATTCCCCCACCCCCAATTTTGGTTTTCATGGAGGAGAGACTTGAATTGAGTTTAGATTACTTTCATTCTTCTCCAATGTGTATGAATGCTTGCCTACATACAAGTACGTATATCACATGTGTGCCTGGTGCCCATGGAGACCAGAAGAAGGCATTGAATCCCCTAGAACTGGAGTTAAAGGCAGTTGTTGACTGTGCGGATGGAACCTGAGTTCTCTGCAAGAGCAGGAAGTACTCTTAATTGCTGAGCCATCTCTCCTGCCCCCTATAGTTTAGATTTTGCCTGTGTACTTAAAAAACAAGCAAATCAGATCTCTGAAGGTCTGGGGTTATTAACTAAATGCTCACAGATGGAATAATACAGGAATATCCATCCCCAGCTGGCCCTGATGCCCATTGCACCCATGCCATGCCCAGTGACTGTTATTTTTACCATTTGCTCTTCAATTGAAGAAAGAGTGGCAATAGTATTGTCTCATGCCCATGACCTACATATTGAAAGGAATATTTGTAATGGATCATTCATGATGTTAGTGTTCCATGAAACAAAAAAAATTGAGAATCCATAGGTTTCTACATGGAAATTCATAATTAAGAAATACTATTGTTGGTGTATTCAACCCATTAATTCAACAAATATTTACTAAAACATCCAGGGCACAAAGATTGGAGATGTATCAATAAACATGTGAATGAAACTTTCACAGTAAGCAGTAATTAATAAATCTCATCTCAGGGTTCCTTCCTGCCTTAGACCATTTATATTTCTGGATGAAAGACCCATACGGTCTTTATATTTTCATATGCCCTAAGCAGCACAATAGCTGGGCAACTGCCTACCCCCCATGCTGTTAGAATCCACTTTCCTACCGATAACTCTGAGTTACTATTGATTAATTTCTGTGTTCCATCTTGGCCGCTCTTGACCCAGTTGAGCAGCCCCCTCTGAGCCACATTCTTCTCCCCTTTACATGGCGGCTCTCCTTCTCCCTCCTGAATGTTCTCCTTCTTTCTTGGTGGCTCTTTCTCCTACTCATTCTTACTCTTCCATGGTGGCTTCTTTGTCTCTCCCCTTCCTTCTCCTCCTGGTCCCAAGCCTGGGAATCCTAAACCGACCTATCTCTCTTCCCCTCCGATATTGGCTGCTGGCATCTTTAACTTGGGGGCTGGGTCCCAAAGGCCACATGCTGACTCCAAATCTTGGAGGCCAGCTTTAGCATTAGAATACAAGCAGTGTTAGGCCAGCCCACTACAAGACTTACCAGAGAGTTTGGTTACATACCACATACTTAAGAAGCACAAGAAAGTGGGCTGCTGTGTTGTAATGAAGAGAAGGCCAACAAGCTTTCAGGATGAGTAAGGACAGCTTTCAAAGGGTTGGATTATATATTATTAAACAGTTTACACAGCTGGCTATTAACACAGCCTCCCTTGACCAATGGATATGTTTTACAATGCAATGATTTTTGAGATTTTATGATGAGTTAGTCATGCCTTCAGCTGTATGAAGACCTGTCATTTAGCTCTTGCCTAACCCTAACAAAAGATTTCAGATTAGGTAACTCCATCTCACAGATGGGGGTCTGAGGCCCCAAGTCAGTCACTTACCCAAGATTTTATTCAGTCAGCAGGTTGCCAAACTGCCTTTACTTCTATTTTTAGCCCAATCCAAAATATCTACTCTTAATGTCTACGTTATTTTTTTCCTCTTTACCTGAGAGTGCTGCTGACTTCCAACTATCGTTAGCTTATGATGCATTTTCTCAATCAATGGATGCTAAAAACACATCGCCTTAGTCAATAAAATATTCATAGGAGTCTCTAGCAACATTATTGTTTTACACATTAAAAGCTTATTATAGAAAATAAATGTGAAGGCAATCAAAATAAATGATTGGCTATTCCAGTTCCCATGGATAATCACTGTAAGCATTTTTTCTTGTTTTTGTTTTTCTGAAAATATATTCAGACTTATTTTTCTTATTACATTGATATATATCTTTAAAGATTTATTTTGATTTGTTTTTGTGGGGTGATGGGTGGCCATGTGTGTAGGTGCTTGCAGAGGCCACTGAGGGCTTTGGACTCCCTGGAGAACAGAGGGTTGTGAGTTTGTTCTACGTGGGTGCTGAGAAATGAACCAGGGTTGTCTGCAAGATCTGCAAGTGTTCTTAACCACTGAGTCATCTTTCCGTCCTCCAAAGTTATATTTCTTGCATAAATAATGGAATCATCCCATAATTTTTTGTAAAGACACAATCTATGTAGCCCAGATTGGCCTGTAGCTCATGCTCTTCCTGCCTCAGTCTCCAGAGTGCTGGGATCACAGGTGTGCCAGTATAACTGGTAATAATTCTGTACATAGTTCAACCCACCGGGTGGTGGGGGCACATGCCTTTAATTCCAGCACTCAGGAGGCAGAGCAGGTAGATCTCTGAGTTTGAGGCCAAACCTTGTCTACAGAGTGAGTTACACAGAAAAACCTTGTCTTGAAAAACCAAAACCAAAACCAAACCAAACCAAACCAACCAAACAAAAAAGCAAATATATTTTGACCCATGTTTTAATTAGCAATATGTTGCAAAACTCTTTCCCTACTAGGCATCTTATTGTTGAGGATACTTTATATCACACAGAAAAGTCTGAGTGAGTCTCAGTTGATACACAGTTATCATTGTCACTGCTATGGTCTCAAACCGCTGTCCAGCACATCTGTAATGGCTGTCTCCTTCCAGCCCTCTTCTTCCTCTAAAGTTGGCTTTCACCACTTAGTCTTAAATAGAATCAAACTGTTTCATTTTGTACTTCTTTTACTACTAATATTTAAGGGTAGGTCATTTGAATTTTCCTTCACTCTTTCCTCTGTAACTTTATTTTGTTATTGGTGTGTACTAAACGCATAGATAATTTTTCTAGTTTGTGACTTTTGCATGCTTAAAGTATCAGTCTTTCGATTGTGTTTCCTTTGTACTCTGTAAATAAATGTCTTATTTGCATCTAAGGAAGTATGAAATTTTTGATATTAAAAAGTAGTATCATATTGCATCAGGTATAAGGCCATAGGGCTCTAAGACATGTGCATATCTGTGCCTAATTGTGGCTTTAGTCATAATAATTAAGTAATAAAGCCAGGTTAGATATCTTCCAACAGATAAATGGATAAAGAAAGCACAGTCAATATACACAATGGAGTTTTATACAACCATAAGAAAATGAAGCTATGGTATTCATAGAAAAAAATAAAAGTAATTAGTCCTGGGGGGAAATATGCTTGCCAAAAAAATATGATGTCCCCAGTTCAGTCCTCAGAACCCATATGGATGTCCCAGGTATGGTAGCATGTGTTTGTAATCCCAGTGCTGGAGAGATAGAGGAAGTATCCCTGGGCCCAGGGAGAGCTTCTTTAAACACGATATAATAGCATATTTTCATAAATATGCCCAAATGAAACCCACTACCTTGTTTGTTAACAACAGATTAAAGTATTAAAGATACAAATAGCAAAAAATGTGATGGCAGTCGTCAAGTTTGGGGGACCTTTGAGGTAAGAGATCAGGTTGATGGGGCGAGGGATATGGATCTGAGCAGGTGTCACGGGGAAGGTTAGGAAATGCCTTGTTTTCAGGCATGTCAGTGACTTCTGGGACTTCAGCAAGGTTCTGTGTCTTGAGAGGACAGGTTTTCCCCTTCTGTTTTCATTTGCTTTTCTCGAAGCCACAGAGTACCTTGTTTTTTCAGGTACTCCACTACAAAGTAGACACATCAAAAAAAAGATTTCTCTTGGTTCCGCAGCTGGGACTTTCTGAGTGGTTGGCTACATTTATGACATTTGATAATAGCAATGGTTCAATAATTCCATGTTGAATGCTGTTCATACTGTTCTTTACAAAGAGCAAAATGTTTTTCTATCTCAAAAAAAACCAAAACAAAACAACCCAAACCCCTAAATGCAACAAAGTATCTAAGTTATAAATGTCAAGTTCATTGCCAGAAACTGATACTGATAATGTTCAAACAAAAATGGCGTATTTTATAAATTCCATTTTAAGACATTGATTTATTGAATTTGAGATTAAAAGCCAATTAATGAATTATCATTATTGTGAAGTTTATGAATCAATACCTTCTTCTACACAGAGGGATATGATTTTATGAGCAGTATCAGCCTACACTTAACTGAAAATATTTTTTCTCTTGCAGCTTTTGTCTCTGGCAGTCTGACATCCATTATGGCCACGGAAGGCAATGTGAGTACCTGTGTGAGAATGCTTTGGGACACCGCAGGCTTTAGAAATCCCCATTTTGATGAATAAGTGAAACACGAGACAAATTGACTTCGAGTCCCCATTTGTCCTTCATTTCATCAGCTTCAGCGGAATCAAATGACCCTGTATCAGATTTCAGTTTATGGCCTCTAAGCATTAAGATCTCTGGCTGTTCAGAGTCCAAGGAATACAACCATGTACCGAAGAAAATCCCTCTCTGTGTCTTAAGAAGACAATGACTAAGATACGGTGAAATCTCTTATCAACTCTTATAGGACAATTTCTATTAATAATTGTATTGCAGTTATGGATTCCTTTAAAAACTATAGCTGTCTGTTTGCCTGAAATACATATGTACCTTGAGCAAGTGTATTACATGTATGGGTAAATTTATGCAGGAAGAATAAGTGAGTTTGTCATTGGGATGTGGCCTTTGTCACAGAAGCGGATGTAGTGTGTCATGAGGCTGTGAGTTGTATCTTTCAGCACATCTATGACCTCTTGATGGATGCAGAAGTGATACCCAGGTGCTGGAGTTACCGCTCAGTTGGTAGAGTAGTTCCTTAGGTTTGAATCCAAGCAATACACAAACTGGGCATCGTGGTGTACGTCTTTACCCTCAGCACACAGGAGGTGGAGGCAGGAGGATAAGAGGTTCACTATGTAGTCATCCTTGGATACATAGAAAGTTCCAGGCTAGCCCAGGATGTATGTAACCCTGTCTGAAAAAAAAAAGATTTATCAGAAGAAGGGAGCCTAGACTTGGTGCCAAATTGGACATGTGAGTGTGGTTTCCAAGTCAACAGTAAATGGGAAAGGAGTCTGCTTGACCATTCCTGGAAGCTGCATCTCCCTAACAGGCAGGGAGGGTATCTGGTAAAATCTCTGTGTGGTTTCCTGATCCCTTCATGTGCCAGACATACAATGATGAACATACTTTACATCTGATCTAGTTCTAAATAGTAGGAAAAGCTTCGTTGTAAGAATGAGTGAAAACTCTGACAGACAGGGCAGGAAACCAAAAATGAAAACAGAGATTAGTCAGGTATGTATTGTCACATCTGTAGAGTCACCATTTAAAATGAAGACAAGGGAGATGTGATCGCTGGATACAGTGGATGGGTGTTTTCATTCCAGAAATGTAAGTTGAGTGGTAGTGGAAGAATTTTGCCAGAATCTGAAAGAGCATGAACTGTTCAGGATACTATAGAAAGGTTCTACAGTGAAGGGCAAAAGCAAACGAATATCATAGGCATGGAGAGGAAGGTTCAGGAGGTCAGAGTAACCAGAGTTTATGAGAATATAAAATCTTAGTTGTGTTTATATTGTGTGTGTGTTTATTATGTGTCTGCATTTGTGTAGGTAGGTAGGTTACACACATGTCAGTGGGTCAGAGGACAACTTGAAGACATTGGTTCTCTCCCTCTGTTTTGTGATATCTGGGGATGCAGTTCAGGTCACCAGCCTTTGGTGCAAGTGGCCTTACCTGCTGTGCTATCCTTTAGCATTTAAATCACCTTCTACTCTGGAGTTTGTTTATTCGTGTGTGTGTGTGTGTGTGTGTGTGTGTGTGTGTATGAATGCACATGCACACTGGCACATATCCAAGGTGTGCATATGGAAGCCAGGGGACAACTTCCTCCAGTGGCTTCTTTTTCCTCCTCCTACCATGTAGATCCTAAGGATTGGAGATTAGGTTTGGTGGCAACCATCTTTAGCTTCTGAGCCATCCTTCCAGCCCTCAAAGTCCACAAAAACTGTAAAAATGTGTGTGTCTATAGGCATATGTATATGTGTTATAAGGACAGAGAAATGGAAAAGAAAATAAACAGTGTTGTCAGGGCCTTCAGTGATAACACGATCCCTGCATTGCTTTAATTTTTTTTTTTTTGTACTGAAAGAATGTAGTTTTTCACTGGGACAACTTTGTCTCATGTACATATGAGGAATGGGATGTTAAGGTCATGAGAGAGCATCTAACACTGAGATAGTCCCTGAAGTTTAGGAAGAAGAAAAAGTTACGTGTTCTTTCTCCTACATGGGCCTCACTGATGAGGCTTATACGCATTTGTGGGTGAGAGTGTGCACGTAGGTCCTGAGACTAGAAAAAGACGAGAAAGGGAAAGGTGTGGAAGAGGGGGAAGAGAAGACACAGAACAGGAAAGCAGAAAGAAAGAGAGGAAGGGGGTGGGGGGAAGAGCTCAAAGTGGGGAGAGTGTGGGGAGAAGAGAGTCGGAAGGAAGGGCAAGGAGAAACAAAATTTGAAAGTGCCATAACCGGATATAATTGTATATGCTAATTAAAAATAAAAGTAAAAGATATCCATTTAATAACCACCCATAATCTATCATCGGTTGGGGTTTGTGTTAGGCAAGAACTGGAGATTTAATTTTCTTCAGAGAACATGGTAGGTTGAATGAAAATGTCTTCGTAGGCTCACAGGGAGTGGTGTTATTTGAAAGGATTAGGGTGTGTAACCTTGTTGTAGGATGTGTGTCACTGAGAGTAGGCTTTAAAGTTTCAGAAACTTAAGCCAGGCCCAGTGGTTCACACTCTCTTCCTGCTGCCTGCTGATCCAGATGTAGAACTCTTAGCAACCTCTCCAGTGCCATATCTGCCCGTGGGTCTCCATGACGATAAAGGACTGAACCTCTGAAACTGTAACCCAGCCCTGGTTAAATGTTTTCTTTTATAACAGTTGTCATGGTCATGGTGGCTCTTCACAGCAACCGAAGACCCAATTAAGACAGGTAAATTAAGATGGTCACATCTTTAGAAAATATTTCTCGTGTATTAGAGGAAAACGACAGATGGGACTAGCAGGTCTACTGTGTCATCTGTATGACCTCTGACCTGGAGCCAGTGGCGTGTGACCCACTTCCCTAGGTCCTGAGCACCAATGAATTCTGTCCCTTGGTAGAGACTGGCTGTTTATGAAATTTCTCATTCCCTAAGCCACCCTGCACTCCAGTCCCCCTCTGCCCAGCTACCTCAGCGGGTCTATTTTCCTCTTGTTTCTCTTGCTGCCGTCGGCACTGGGAAGGTTTATAACACAGCTCTTAAGCCTTTCTCTCAGCAGCTTTTTGATGTTTACTCTCCTTTATTTTTCCATTCAGAAAATTAGTGCGATTTTCTCCTGTCATGTGTTCCCTAAGTCAAGTGTGGCAGAGACCTATTTTTTGTCCCATGGGTTTCCGAAGGTTTGTTTGACACATCTGACCTATTACTCTTCATTTCCCCTAATCTAATGTTTGCTGAGCTTCGTGTGATGCCTGGGGGCAGGACTGCGAAGAATCGAGGCTCAGTGTCTCACAGAGTAAGGAAGATAGGCTCAGGCAGCGTAGCTGCTCCTAGCCAGACAGTTCATCGTTGGGACCAGTATGATAAATGGTGCTTGAAACCTAAAACTAGATTCTAAATTTATATCATATTTTATTATGTGTAGCAGTGCCCAGTTAGGTTACAGTTGGGCTATTTGTAAACTGGACAGTACTCTGTTTTCTCTTTGAAAGAAAACGGTGGAATTTTTTTAAAGCAGAAAGCCAAAATAATCAACATAGCAAGTGTTTCTTTCCTTCTTGGTACTATGCCTTCTGCAGTATGATGCCTGGTCCTCCCCGCTTCTCACTGGGCTACCTAAATACTAGAGTGGATTTTCTTTTTCTTTTTTTAATCCTCCTAACATAGTCTTTTTAATGATTATTTGTGAGTTTCCCATAATGCACCCTGATTGCTTTTACTTCTTAGTCATCCCAGGTCTACCCCCAACCTTTACTGCCTTCCCCAAAGAAAGGAAGAAGGAAAGAAAGAAAAAAAGAAACCAAGTCTAATTTATGTTGCCTATATACTCATCGGAGATTGGTCAGACTCTAAGTGGCAAACGCCTTAAAGAAAACAAATCTTTTCTCATTCCCACCCTGCCGGAAGCCATTAACACGTTTTAATCACAAGGTTTAAGAGTTCTCTCCAATGACTTCCTGTCTAGACTGTTTCTTCCTTTGGGGTGGGGCAAGGTAGGGTGGGGGTAGAGATGGCCCATGCTGCTTCCGGTGGGCGTGTTGATGTTTGTAGCCTTTATTGTTGTCTAAGGTTACGATGATGTCGGTGGTCTGTGCTGCGGCTGAGGGCCCAGGTGGATGCCTGTGGTCTGTGCTGTTGCCAGAAACCGTGCGGAACTCCACAATCCACACTGCCGCAGACTACAAAGGGCCAGGAAGCTTATTTTGCAGTGGTATTGGTGACTGCAGACTCACAGTTGAGAATGAAAGACATAGAGCAGATTTTCTTAAACGTAGCTCCCAGGACAGCAAATCATGAGCTTACATTGGCTCCGTGGGATGCATCGGCTTGGCTCAGTGGCTAGCCTTTGGACTTCCTACCAACCTGACAGTTTAAAATATCGCTTACAGGGCCTTGTGCGACATGGCGTTGCCACTCAGGGTGGTCCTCCTGCTGCTCTGTGTTGGTTCTCCCTGGATCAGCCATGCAGTGTTGTATCATAGTCTCAAAGACCAGGGTCTTTCTCTTTCAAGCATTTGATGTGAGCGGCTCACAGGTAGTATCCCTTGACTGCGTACTTCCGGCGAACTCTGGTGAACTAGCCTTCGTCCTCTGTGCTTCTGAATGCTCTGAGCATCCACGGGCAGACCTCATTATCTTTGATTCTTCGTGCCCCCTCTCTTTTTCTCTCCATCCCTTGTCTCTCTGCCTCCCCATCTCTCTTTTTCTGTGTGTATGTGTGTATGTGAGTGTGTGCGTGCGGTATGTGTATGTGAGTGTGTTTGTATGTGTGTGTGCAGTATGTGTGAGTGTGTGTGTAAAGTGTGAATATGTGAGTGTGTATATAGTATGTGTATGTGAGTGTGTGTGTATATAGTATATGGATATGTGTATGTGAGTGTGTTTGTATGATGTATATGTATGTGAGTGTTTATGTGAGTGTGTCTGGGTGTCTGTGGAGGCCAGACCCCAAGATCAGGTGT